AAACTACTCTATATTTACAATGAAAATGACTTAGTTTTCTATAAGGCAGCAGCAGGTCCGTTGTCAGCAACAGTGTCTTTGGCATCACGATCTGCGCGCGCGGCGCTGTTCGCTTCTTCCTGCAGCTTGGCGCTCGCGAGGGATATCGGTGGGGCGACAGAGGCACCTGCGCGCTTGTCACTTGGCGCGGCCAAGACCACGGGGCCGTCCGTGGCGCTAGGCATTGGGAGGTTCGCTAGGACGCCACGGGGCGCGCCCAAGGGGTCATGGGGCATGGCTGGAAAGCCGCCCATGACATAAGTCATTAATATTAATATCTTCGTTTTTACATAAATTTGATGAGCACGTTGTTAGTCTCAGCAAGAAACTCGTTCCTCTTAAATTGGATTTCACCTATTCATTTTCTTAAATTTTACTTTCTTATTTATTATTTACCCTGACTTTTAATTGCTGTGCGACAAAGCTTCGGTTTCCAACAATGTCTAGTCCTATATTGGTATCAAACCAAAAAAGTGAAACCAATCCCTACACAAGCACGTATTAATGAACTCAAATGAATAGAAATATCGATTTTTATAGAGATTTTTGAGAATAGAGTTACATATTTTTCTCATAAAAAGATTGTCAGAACATATTCATGATACTTGTTTGAATTTGTTATTCTTCTATATAGAATTATTTTGGAGGCATTTGTTTATTATTTTATTAATGAACAGTTAGTTATGTTTGAAACCATAGTAAGGTCGTTATTATATCTATGAAAGGACTAATTCTCATATCTCATGGTACAGTGAAATTTTTAACATATGGATATGTACATTAATAGGTTCAGGATGAGTGTGTTTTCTTAGCAAAATATTTTCCGAAAAATATTTTTTATTTTTCTTATGTTTGTTTGGTTTAAATATTTTTTTTGAAAAATTCCTCATGAATGAGAAAAATATTTTCCCTACCAAAAGGAGGAAAAAACTTTTCAAAATACTTTTTCAACCTTCTCCACCAACCTTCACCCCCAC